TTTTTTTTTTTTTTAAGTCAATGTCTTTTTTTTTCTTTGCAGAAAGAGAGAAAAAGGGGAAAGAAAAAAATGAGAGAAAAGCTTCCGTAAGATCTTGTAGAAGGAAAAAAAGTCTTTTTTTCTAATGTAAAAACGCATAATTTTTTTTCAGAGGGAGGAGGAACAGCTTAAACCAGAAAACACATTCATATTAATCATTCTTCTCATATACTTCAAATATGTACTTAATGCCTTTCTCGTCCTGGGCATCAGAGGGAACACCTGGGTATTCTGGCAGAAGTTTATATTTCTCCAAATCAATTTCTGGAAAAAACGTGTGACTTTCAAAGTCCTGCATGATCCTTGTCACAAACAGTTTAACATGGCCTGGGTGATCCACGGCTTCCTTATAAACAGAACTGCCACCAATTATCCAAATCATGTCTACTTTATTTGCTAATTCTGGTTGTTCAGTAAGTTTTAAGGCATCATCCAGACTTCTGGCAAGAAAATGAGCTCCTTGTGGAGGTCCTTGAGTTCCCTGCTGAGAACTACATTAATTCTATCCTTTAAAGGTCGATTTTTCTCAGGAATGGAGAACCAGGTCTTCCTACCCATAATCACCAAATTCTGTTTATCTTCTACTGAAGAGGTTGTGGTCATTCTCTGGAAATACCTGAATTAATTCCTGAGCGGCGGCCAGGGCAGGTCACCATTCTTGCTGATGCCCATGTTCTGGGACACAGCGACGATGCAGTTTAGCAACTGAACCATGACAGCAGGAGTGAGCACTGAGCCCGCTCACTACACCACAACGTGAGGCCAAGTTTGGTGCGAAATCCAAAAAATCCATCTTCTTTACACCTTTACTACCACTTCCTTAGTTCAGTGTAATATCTCTCATCTGCATTATTCTCCAATAGCCTCCTAATAGTCTCTCTGTTTCCATTCTTGCTTGCCTATATTCCATTCTCTAGACAGCAGAGTGATTTTTTTTTGATAAAGAGTTTTGCTCTTGTCGCCCAGGCTGGAGTACAGTGGCATGATATCGGCTCACTGCAACCTCCATCTCCCGGTTTCAGGCAATTCCCCTGCCTCAGCCTCCCAAGTAGCTGGGACTACAGGTGCGTGCCACCACGCCCAGCTAATTTGTTGTATTTTAGTAGAGACAGGGTTTCACCATGTTGGCCAGGATGGTCTCAATCTCCTGACCTCGTGATCTGCCTGCCTCGGCCTCCCAAAGTGCTGGAATTACAAGCGTGAGCCACCACACCCAGTTCAGTGTGATCTTTTAAAACAAATTTGATCACACCACTCTTTAGTTTAAAACCTTACAACAGCTTAGAATAAAATCCAAAGTCCTGATTATGACCCTCCAAGCAACATATGATGCAGCCCCTGCCCACATCTCCAACCTCATCCTTAATTTTTTTTCTTTTTTAAAAATAGAGATGGGGTTTCACCATGGTGGCCAGGTTGGTCTCGAACTCCTGACTTCAGGTGATCTGCCCGCCTTGGGGTCTCGAAGTGCTGAGATTACAGGCGTGACCCACCGCGCCCAGCATCCAACCTCATCCTTCCTTTATTAGTCTCCTACTTGCTCTACTCCAGCTACAATGACCTTCTTTCTGATCCTTGAACACATTTAGCTTATTTCCACCTTAAAACTTCTGCCTATCTGCCCAGAAATCTTTTCCTTGGATTTCCAATAGCCTGCCTTTTCTCATTCCTTAGGGGTCTCAGCTTAAATGTTACCTCAGAAGAGACCTTCCTTAATCATCTAATACGAAGCAGTCCCCACATTCAGTTATTCTTTTACCTCAGCACCCTGTTTCTGTTCTTCTTAGCATCAGACTCGGGCTTTCCTACTTCCTTTTCCTGAAAGATCCATGAGCCCGTACCGTGTCTTGTTCCTACTGTTTCTCCAATGTCTAGTATATTTGGCACAGACTGATGTGCAATTAATAAGTGAATGAAAAACCATTGAGAGGCGATTAGCCAAAAGCTCTTGCAAGGCCCTTTGACAGGTTATCAGTGGAGAGTAGGGAGCGCAAACCTGGGTTCTCATTCTATGCTTGACCACTTCTCGGCTGTGCACAAACTAGTCCAGCTCTCTGAGCCTCAATTACCCAATCTGCAAACTAGGGATGGGAACATTCACACACAAACGCCAAATGGCTACCCTGTAAAGATGAAAGCAGGTAATGCAAAGAACTCCACATAAGGTTAATGCTCCGTAAACAGAGCTGCTACTGCTATTATGTATTCTACACAATCCTGCTTCCTTACGGCAGGACTCTCGTGCTTCAGTCCTCTCTTCTGTTTCCTGGGTCGACCTCCCTTTCTGAAGAGCGCTTCCCGAAGAGCCCTTCCCAGGCGTGAATCTCCGCAGCTAGGATAAAGGCTGAGGCCCCAACGCATGCGCACTCAAGCGTGTCCGGGAGCGACCTCCGGTGGCCCAGCCCAGTCCGGTCGCCCATGACGTCATTAGTGCAGCGCCTCCGCCGCGGAAGGCCCGGGGGCCAGCCCTATATGCGGCGCGTCTTAGGGAGGCCCAGGCCAGCGCCTGCAAGTCGGGTGCACGGCTAGGGGGCGGCTCGGAAGCCCCAGCGGAAGGCAGCGAGGGGCGCGTGGGGCCGTGGAGTCACGAAGCTGGGCGACAGGAAGGGCGGCCCGGAGCTCCCGCGGGACACAGCGCGTGCGTGAGGGCGGCCGGCGGGGCTGCCCGGCGCGGGTGTCCCGGCGATGTGTGGCGCTGAAGCGGTGGCGGGAGCAGCGGCGGCGAGCTCTGCTTCGGCTTCGGCTTCGCTGCGGTGCAGGCGGCGGAGGCGGAGGCGCAGGCTCCTCCTTAGGACCTGGCGAGCCCGGGCCTAAGCGGCGGCCCCGCGAGGCCCCTGCACAGCGCCACAGGTCGAGGCCCTCCCCGCCTCGCCCTACCCCGGGAGCCTGCCTCCCCTGCCGGGGATGAGGCTAGGAGGCGGCCTCACGGGGCCCAGCACAAAGGCTTGTCCCCAGGGGCCGCCGCCTCCGCCGCTGCTGCTGCCGCCAGCTTAGAGCCACCCGCCGAAGCAGAGCCGGCACCAGGGCCCTCATCCCCACCGGTCCCCAGGGGCGGCTGCTGCCCGTCGCCCCGAGGCCCAGGGGCCGGAGTGCCGAGCCCTTTGCTCCCTCGGCCTCGCGGGGTCAGGGCGGCTGAGCAGCCTCCGCCTTTCGCGGCTGCGGGGGCCTCACGGAGCATGTCGGAGGAAAGCGACATGGAGAAAGCCATCAAGGTAAGGGGGAGGTGCCCCCTCTTCCCCTGCTTTGTCCTGTGGCGTTCTTCTCGGTTCCAGCCTCAAAGCGGGGAGATTTTGCAGTGAGATTTTCCAGCGACTCCCGGGTTTCGGCCTCCCCCTGATTCCGTGGACTGCGCTTTACAGCTCTGGGGCCAAGGGTGTGGGTGTGGGTGTGGGTGTGGGTGTGGGTGTGTGTCCGACTCCCTCCAGCTTCCCTGGTGTGATTTGCGCTCAGCTAGAACGAAGGTGAGTGGCGTGGAAGTACTATCAAGTGTCAATGAATGGGACGAAGAGAGCCTTGCTGCTGCTACTCGTTTCGATCGTTCCCCAAGGCCGCCAGCATTTGCTTCCGGATGGTCTGCAGCGCTTGGAGAGTTGGAATTTATCCATTCCTCCCGTTTTGTTTGAAATCGGCTTTCTGGAAATCTGCAGTTTTAGAAGAAGGTGGTGCGGTACAAAACCTGTCCTTTGGCGAATAGGTTGTCCTCGTTTTTTCCGTGTGTTGTCCCCTTTTCCTTTTTCCTTTTCTCTCTCCTAGGAAGCATTTTTACTTAGGAAGAGTTAACAGTTCCTGCGACTTAACTGCGCTTAAGCCAAAAGAAAAGCAAATGTGTGTTGGAAAATTAAATAAAATAAGCTTTCTAAAACCTGTTTTTTACTTTTTTTTTTTTAAAGAAAGGCACATTTTGCCCACTAAGGGCCAGTTATCTGTCTTGGCAGCTATAATTAAGAAATTAGTCTTATGAAATTAAACACCGACGCTTAAAGTTTGATGTATTATTTATTTGGCAGTGTTAAGTCAACCCAGTGCATTGAATAATTTAATTTTATCCTGAAGGACAGGCATTTATTGGCAGCTTGGGGTTATTTTCCCCTTCAAGACTGTGACTATTACTGATTAAGAAGTACCCACTTTGCCGGGCGCGGTGGCTCAAGCCTGTAATCCCAGCACTTTGGGAGGCCGAGGCGGGTGGATCACGAGGTCAAGAGATCGAGACCATCCTGGTCAACATGGTGAAACCCCGTCTCTACTAAAAAATACAAAACATTAGCTGGGCATGGTGGCGCGTGCCTGTAATCCCAGCTACTCAGGAGGTTGAGGCAGAAGAATTGCCTGAACCCAGGAGGCGGAGGTTGCTGTGAGCCGAGATCGTGCCATTGCACTCCAGCCTGGGTAACGAGTGAAACTCCGTCTCAAAAAAAAAAAAAAAAAAGAAAAGCTACCCTTCTACCAATTCTTTGGGTGGTGTATATAGTTTCTCCAAATCATCAAGTCATTTTAAAGAAACTTAACCCTTTAAAGGAGGCATCAACATATATACATTAAAGAAGACCAAGTTTTAAATTATAAAAATAAAGATTCTAAAAGATTGCTTTGTTACATCCTTTTTTTTTTTGGTTTGGGATTTACTGGCACAGGGGCATGATTTGCTGCCTGAAGTTATTTAATTGGGTTGTGAATCAAAGCATATGTGGCCGGTTTTTAAACATTGTCTCCTTTGTGCCAGATGGTGTCCTAGACACAAATGGTACAAGCCAGACTCCTAGATGTCCCTGTTCTCATGTAGCTTACATTCTAGAGGGTGGAGTTACTGCCAGGTGGTGTTAATTAAGTGTGGAAAGGGTGAGGAGTACTATGTTAAATAGGCTAGTCTGAGGAGGTGACACTGTAGAGTTCTGGCGGAAATGAGGGAGCAAGCCACCAATGTCTCAGGGAAGAGTAAAGCAGGCAGTGTGAATAGCAAGGACAGACCTTGAGGCAGAAGCAGGTATAGTGTGATGTAGGAATAGCAAGGTGGCTGGAATGCAGTGGGTCAGTGGAGATGACGTAGAGCAGCAATGGGAAGCATGGCACTTAGGGCCTTGTAGGCCATCGGAGGAACTTTGGCTTTGACCCTGATTAAATGTGGAACTATGGGAGAGTTTTGAGCAGAAGACAGACATAGTTCCAGGGGACGAGTATACAAATAGGGCAGCAGCATTACTTAGTGGTGGTTGTAGTCTCTCTAGGTAGACTCAGTTGAATCTCAGCTTTTCTTTCTTTTTTCTTTTTGTGAAATAGAGTTTCACTCTGTCACCTAAGCTGAGTGCAGTGGTTCGATCTCTGCTCACTGCAGCTGCCTCCTTCCGGGTTCAAGTGATTCTTGTGCCTCAGCCTCCCGAGTAGCTGGGACTACAGGCATAAACCACCAAGCCCAGCTATTTTTGTATTTTTAGTAGAGATGGGGTTTCACCATGTTGGCCAGGCTGATCTGACCTCAGGTGATCCACCTGCCTCAGCCTCCCAAAGTGCTGGGATTACAGGTGTGAGCCACTGCACCCGGCGCAGCGTTTCTGTTTTATTAGCTGTGTGTCTTTTTTGAGTGTGATGCCACTTCACTTCTGTCTCCTTAGTTTCCTCGCCTTTTGATGGGATAAAAGCACTTCCCAGCTCATAGGGTTTTTTTGTTACTGTTTTTTTTTGAGGAGTAAATGAGCACATATACCCAAATGTGTTTATAATAATACCTAGGCCGAGCTTGGCGGCTCATAGCTGTAATCCCAGCACTTTGAGAGGCCGAGGCAGGCAGATCACCTGAGGTCAGGAGTTGGAGACCAGCCTGGCCAACATCACGAGACCCCATCTCTACTGGTGGCACATGCCTTAATCCCAACTACTCAGAAGGCTGAGGCAGGAGAATCACTTGAACCTGGGAGGTGGAGGTTGCCATGAGCTGAGATCACACCACTGCACTCCAGCCTGGGTAACAGAATGAGACTCCATCTCAAAATAATAATACCCAACAGCAAGAGCTTAATGAATATTAGTTCATAGGAACTTATGCTTTAGAAAGAGTCTTCACTTGACTTTTGCCCAGCCCAATTTTCTTAAAATTTTCTTAGCTTTTCTTCACTCAGAGTACTTGATGGGTCACTGGTGAATCTTTATACAATTGGGGCATGTCCAACGAATACCTGTTGGTGGAGTTGAAAATATCTGAACTGACAACCAGTACTAACTAGGATGTACTACTTTGGAAGCAAGCCAGCATTACATCAAATAAACATTTAGTCTGTGGCATTGTGTTGTATTCATTGTTTTGCGTTTTTTGAGGTGTTCATCAGATAGTGAACACTGAGACAGACCTGTAGTGTTCATCTGGAAAGCTGTTTTCCTGGCCTCCAGCCACAGCACTTGAACTCCTGCTGCCAGACTACCTGAGAGTGGACTGATTGGACTTTAAGATCTCATCCTCCCTTATCCGTGGTTTTGCTTTCCTCAGTTTCAGTTATATACGGTCAACTGCAGTCTGAAAATACTAAATGGAAAATTCCAGAAATCAACAATTCATAAATTTATTTTTATTTATTTTTTGTTTTGTTTTGTTTTTTTGTAGAGACGGGGTTTCACCATGTTGATCAGTATGGTCTCGATCTCGACCTGGTGATCCACCCGCCTCGGCCTCCCAAAGTGCTGGGATTATAGGCGTGAGCCATCGTGCCTGGCCTATTTATTTATTTTGAGACAGAGTCTCTCTCTGTCACCCAGACTGGAGTGCAGTGGTGCAGTCTCAGCTAACTGCAACCTCTGTTCAAGCAATTCTCCTGCCTCAGCCTTTTGAGTAGCTGGGGTTACAGGCATGCACCACCATGCCCAGCTAATTTTTGTGATTTTAATAGAGATGGGGTTTCACCATGTTGGCCAGGCTGGTCTTGAACTCCTGACCTCGTGATCTGCCTGCCTTGGGCTCCCAAAGTGCTGTAATTACAGGCATGAGTGACTGCGCCCAGCCCTCATAAGTTTCAAGTTATGCACTGTTCTTTGTAGCTTAATGAAATCTCTTGCCGAATTGCCTGGGACATGAGTCATCCCTTTGACCAGCATGTTCACACTGTATGTGCTTCCTGTCCTTTAGTTACTTAGTAGTCATCTTGGTTATCAGAAAAAACAATATATATAGGGTTCAGTACTATCCAAGGTTTCAGGCATCCACTGGAGGTCTTGGAAAATATCATCTCTTATCTGTAGAAACTACTGTACTCTTAAAAATTTTAGGATAAGAGGCTGGGTGCAGTGGCTCACACCTATAATCCCAGCACTTTGGCAGGCCAAGGTGGGAGGATCATTTGAGGTCAGGAGTTCAAGACCAGCCTGGCCAATATTGTGAAACCCCATGTCTACTAAAAAAGAAAAAAAAAATTAGCCTGGTGTGGTGGCAGGTGTCTGTAGTCCCAGCTACTCGGGAGGCTGAGGCAGGAGAATTGCTTGAATCTATGAGGTGGAGGTTGCAGTGAGCTGAGATCACTCCACTGTACTCCAGCCTGGGTGTCAGGGTGAGACTCAAAAAAAAAAAAAAAAATATTTAGGATAAGGTCAAATGGCTATAATTGGACTCTCTATCTTCACCTGTATCTCTATTCCCCTAGCCCCACAACTTCGCCATGCCCAAGGCACTTAGCTAAACCTGGAGAGCGGGCATTTTGGGATTAGAGATTCTTATATACTGTACATATTCTTACATACTGTACTCCAGCCTGGGTGTCTTTTATTATAATTATAGCAAGTCATTAATACTTGATGAACTTGGTGAAAATCCATTTCCTTAGTTTTTAAAATTAAAAAAATGTAATGTAGTTTGTACATCATAAAAATACCTCCAGTGTAAATGTACAATTCAGTAATTTTTAGTAAATTTATTATATTTATTTTTTGAGACAGAGTTTCACTCTTGTTGCCCAGGCTGGAGTGCAATGGTGCAATCTTGGCTCTCCTCAGCCTCCCAAAGTGCTGAGATTACAGGTGTGAGCCACTGCGCCCAGCCAACTGATAGAGTTGTGTAGCCATCATCACAGTCTGGTATAGAACATCTCCATTCCTTCTAGAAAGTTTCTTTGCCTGGTTGTAGTCATCCCCTGTTCCCACTCCTTGCCTGTTACACCCACTGATTTGCTTTGTCACTCTAGTTTTTGCCTTTTCTAGAAATTATAAATCAGTGAAATCACTTACCAGTTTTATGTGTTTGATTTCTTTTTTTTTTTTTTTTTTGAGATGGAGTCTTGCTCTGTCGCCAGGCTGGAGTGTAGTGGCCCAATCTTGGCTCACTGCAACCTCCGCCTCCCTGTTCAAGTGATTCTCCTGCCTCAGCCTCCCGAGTAGCTGGGACTACAGGTGTGTACACCACGCCCGGCTAATTTTTTTCTATATTTAGTAAAGACAGGGTTTCACCACATTGGCCAGGATGGTCACGATCTCTTGTCCTCATGATCAGCCTCCCAAAGTTCTGGGATCACAGGCGTGAGCTGCTGTGCCTGGCTGAGCAGTAGTCTTTATTGCTTATCCATTCTCAGTTCTTGGACATTTAGATTATTTCTAGTTTTTAGCTGTTATGAATAAAGTGATAAAACTGTACAAGTTTTGTGTGAATATATGTAATCATTCTGTGTAGATAGGTGTAGAATAACTGGGCAGTACAGTAAGCTTATGTTTAACTTTTTAAGGAACCACTAAACTGTTTTCCAAAGTGGTGGTACCATTATACATTCCCACTGGCAGTGTTTGAAAGTCCTAGTTTTTTTCTACCATCTTCACAAATATTTGGTATTTTCAGTCTTCTTATTTTAGTCCTTCTGGTGGGTGTGTCCTGGTATTA